AAGGAGTAGGAGTGGGAGAGGAGGAGGCGGAGAATGAGGAGCAAAAGGAGGAGGAGGAGGAGGAGGAGAGGGGGGAATGTACGAGAGATGGCGGACAGACGTTCAATAGTGCTAGACACGAGCACCTTGATACTGACCTACTCCTAAATCAAATTAGTGCTGCAAACACTAGGCATTGTTGTGCTTCGGTTCTAAGCCTGGTTGTTAGACAACATATTCGAGGTATTGACAAGCAATGTGTGCAACTTCAGAGTTGAGCTGCATTTCAAAGCATGTCAGTAGGCAGTCGGAAATCTGTGCTTAAATTTTGCATAACCAAACTTAACCACCCAGTATGCTTGTTGTAACAGACAATTAGGAAGCACACTCACGAAAGATGTGTTGGTGGAGAACGACAGATTTCCAATAGATTTCTTTTTGATGTCCTTCCAACGCGAAGAGAAATCGGGCAAGATCGGCTTGCAACAGCTCAACGAGGCAAAAGAGGAGTCCCGTCCGCCTCATCTTTCAGCCAGTGGCCCAGAGAAAGTGGTTGAGTATGCTTCTACGTAAATTATGCCAAGTTACCTTAAATGAATCAAATCCAATCGGCGAATACGTTAAATATATGTGTGCCGAGAAACTATGATGTTGGGGCTGATAAAAAGAGACTATGGAGTATAGGTCGAAATAAGGTGAATGTCCAGTATATGAGGGGTATCAAGTCTATTTCGATTAAGATGATTAGGAGACTGACAAATGAATTTTCCCACAAGAATATGAATAGATCCTATGTTTCCATTGAGCTACACATAGCCTTGTTTTCCAAAAGGTATTCTCATCCAGGATGGACTGCGGTTATGGCCTCGATTGTCCTCAATCCCAGCGGTACTGGAACCCTTACAGTATAACAGATAATGTAGATATGTTAACTAGTATGCAACATTGCAACGTGTAATCTTGCTTGTGGAACCTTCATTTCGTATGAAAGTGCAAGAAGAACAGATTTGTTCGTCGATCTCACCAGATGACGACGGATAAATCTCGTTTGATGTTTATACCATATTCATGTTGGCGCAGATCACCAGACTTCCTCCCTCGTTTCGGGTGAAATGTGCTTAGCTTTCGTCCGTCATATGATGGACATCATCAGAGCACTTTCATACGAAATGAAAGTCCCCCAAACAATGTTATCACAAGAGATTCATTGAAACCAAATTTATCTTCGTATCTACGTTACAGGGTAGATTCCAATTTCAATGAAGGGCAGACAACTTCCAATATCTTATTCTGTGATGAGAGTGTTGATGAAGAAAAATGTTATTTACTATTAACCTTATATATTTGATCTACTGGCAGTATTGGAAGCCTGCTTTTAAACGAATAATAAGTAATGTAGTTTAGTAAACCCTACCAGCACAGAATGTGGTATGAGAAAATGCCTGACCTTCCTTGAAATTCGCATATGCCCTT